CCAAAACATTGTAACATGCATTACTTTACTCACACTAGCTAAATAAAAGCATGAAAACTTATTTTAGATAACCTGCTCTCGTTTAGTGTCTCTTGCCTAAATTTTTTATGAAAAAAAACTAGCCTTGCCGGGACTGGTTTGACTCAATGGATAGAGCGTCGGCTTGGGGACTGAAGGGTCCCGGGTTCGATTCCGGTCAAGGGCATGTACCTTGGTTGCGGGCATATCCCCAGTAGGGGGTGTGCAAGAGGCAGCTGATCGATGACTCTCTCTCATCGATGTTTCTAACTCTCTCTCTCTCCCTTCCTCTCTGTATAAAATCAATAAAATATATTTAAAAAAAAAGAAAAAAGAAAAAAAGCTAGCCTCTATTATTCATTAAACATTCACTAAAAAAGCATATTCCAGCAAATACTCAAAAATCATTTATATATAACCCAGAGGTAAGCCAGATCTAGTCATCCACCATCAGCAATATAAATGTACTTCAGTGAAATTTCTATTTTAATTTATGATTTGGGGAGAAATATGAGAAACATTATAATTTCGTTTTCCCAAATTTCAACGTAGCCTTACAAGCCAAAAGTTCCAGTCACAACAAAACGTGAAACATGAATTATTGACAAGAAAGCCAATGCCGGTCCTGAAAGCACAGACACCTTTACTTCCCGCTAAAATTGCCACCGAGAGCTGTGTAAGGACTTTCCCCAAAGCCAAACTGAACCCTCATTCACCACTTTACTTACTTCTTTCCGTTTTGTTTCTGGACATTCCGACTGCAGAGTGAGGGTTGCACCTTCGATATTTCTTGGCATGGGCGTGGACCCAGGGTTTATTGTTAAATGAATCTGATCTGGTGAGATAATGTGTTGCACGTAACCCTGGGACATTGCTTCATGATCTATCAGATGAAAGCCCTCTTCACCCCCTACAAGAAAAGGCAAGGGTTCTCCACACTGTCCATCATCATCTTCATCGTCCAAAGTGCCAGGGTCCTGCTCAATGAGAACAGTTGTCCTATCATAGACAGTTCCAGATGAGGAAGGCACCAGTCCGTTTTTATCCACAAACCTGAGCATCCTGTCATCAGGGGTCAGCTCATCTTCCTCGGCCTCAAAGTAGATGATGTTGTTATCTGGACTGTGTTCCCCCATGGTTCAATTGTGCTTCAGCCCAGTTGTGAGAAATGGAAAGGTAATGACTTGTCTGCAACAGAACAAAGCCAGGGTTAGAGCCACGCACCACAGCACCGCGGGACTCCTCAGCAACCACAGGGCTGTCCTCCTCTCATTTCAAGACCAGGTTGAAGTGAAAGAAAAGTCATTTTCCCTGGGAATAATATTTTAAGTGTTGCTTTGAAACCATCAAGTCGTTTTCACAAGACCTTCCAAATGTGCTTTACTGCCAAACAATGTGAAGCTTGGTCAAAATACCTCAAGGGGGTTAAGGAGCAAACTGATTCAAGTCTGAGTTGCTATAAATCTTAAAAGTAACGTTTTACGTTTCACTCAAATATAACGCCACATCAGACCAGGAGGCAGTGCAGTCTATGGTGGAAGGTGCAGAGTTTTGGAGGCAGGGTCACGTACCTACAATTTCCATCTTTGCCACTTACTACTTGGGGAACTTTTCTGTGCCTCGTTTTCTTATGTAGAAGGTGAGACTGGTAATTTCTGTCCTCTCAAAGTTATGTGAGGTAAAAGAGAGAATGTACATGAAAGCAATAGAAAAGGCAACAAGTGTGAATTCCTTCCTTCCTTCCTTCCTTCCTTCCTTCCTGGAACAGATGGTTCAGCTTCTGAGTAGAGGGGCTGATCCTTAATCAGACATACCTAATGAAAACAATTTTATCTCCTAAAACAATCTGGTTCCCAGCAGTGTGCTGTCTGCAATGAGGGAAGGAGAACTTATTTTTGTTTCTAGTGTCCCTAGCGCGGTACAGTGACACCAGGGACACCGGGGGTCCAGATGTCCGCTAAATGAATGGAAGACCTGCAGAATCTCTCTCTTGGGAAGATTTGCTCTCTTGGGAAAAATACCAAAGGTGAGGCTTTCCTGTTTTGGAAAGCTGATTTACCTTCAAACACAGAGGTTCTACAAATATGAGTTTGGCAGGCAGAACCGAGAATTGTAAAAACAACCCCATCACGTTTAGTTTTCAGACTCGACTTGCACTTTATTTTTCTCTTCTGCTCTGGATTAGAGAGGGAACCTTTTACGTAGTGGGGCCGCTAGATAGGGATAGTTGCCAGAGACGGGCTGAGGGAAGAACCCGCCCCGACCCCTTGCTCTGGCTTACGCAACCCGGTAGATGCACATTTCGCTGCATCTGTGAGGAGAGAGAAGCGCACGGGGGCCCCACCGGGCTGCCCAGGCACCGTCGGCGGCAAACAGAGATCAACTGTCCGAAACAAACAAGACCAGGAGGTTGGAGGATGGCAAACGAGGAGTACCAACAGCACCCCTGAGAGGAGGCTGGGAAAGAAACCTGCCTGGGAGAGCTCCCAGCCCGGGCTACACGGAAAACCTGAAGACAGGCTGGGGGGCTCCGACCCCGGCGAAGAGGGGCAGGGTCCGGTCTCCATGGAGACAGGGGAGGGGGCTGGATACCCATCCCCATGGAAACAGAGGCGGGGTGGGGTCTCTATGGTGACCGGACTGGGGTCTCTACCGGGAAATGCTTCAGAGGGGAGCCTAAGTCCCGCGCCCCCAGAGAAGTCCCCAGCCCAGGCCGCGTCTAGTTCCGCCTTTTACCTCCGCGGCTCCCGGCAACGGCGGCAGCGACAGCTTCTCCTCTCCCCAGCGGCACCATGATTGCCCCCTCCTTACCGAACGTCACTTCCGCTTCCGCTTCCCGGAGGAAGGAGGTGAGCCGGGTTTCGCCTCTCCCTGGCGCCGCTGATTGGTGTAGGCGGAGCTCGAGCCTCCAATTGGCGAGCGGGAGGGGCGGGGCGCCTGGTGACGTAGCCGGACGGGGAGCGGGTCCCGCGCGGGGAAGAGCCCGCCGTCCGTCGGGGCGTCTCTCCCGCGGCACCTGACGCTGGGGTAGAGGGTTGAGCCCCTACACTAATCCAGAGCAGCTTCCGTCCAGCTTGTGCTGCCGTCTTCGCCATGGCAGCCACCACCGCCACAGAAAGGACCACAGTTACGTATCCGAATTCCGGCCGGGACCCGCCGGGGGAGCCGGGAAGGCTGTGGCACTCCCGCCATTTCTCTCCTTGGCCCCAGCTTCTCTTAATCACCCAGCAAAGTTAATAAACATAAGCCGGAGGGTCCGAGAAAGAAAGGTTGAACCTAAAGGGCGGACTAGGGAGTATCCCACGCCCAGCCGGAGCACGACGCCGCCCCTTCCCCCCCGTGATTGCCCTCTCGGAAGCGCAGGTCGCTCACTCCGGCCCAGCGGTCTAACTTTTTCCCAGGCTGAGGACTGTGAGCTCTCATCCGGATTCGCGCCGGCGCCAGCCAGCGCCACCTACTGGCCATCCCCTTTCTTGACCGGTTCACATTGTCATGCTCCTGGCTGATACCTTCTAGTAAATCCCATTTTACACTGGCAAGTAGTGGTGTTTCAGGGCCCAAGAAGCAATTTTGATTATGACGTCATTATGCTCTAGTAGTGTTTTCTAAATCCCTGGGAGATCTAGCTGTTAGAACATCCCAGCAGCCAACAGCTGTTTTCCCCCCTAAGCTACTTGTATGGAATATTCAAAGTGCAACAACTCCCAGAGACTAGAGCAGCCTGTACCATCTCTTGCTTGAAAAATGTGACTAGTGACTGTACCCACCAGATGCCCCGCAAATATCTCTTTGGCCCCTGACCAGCTGCCCAATGCTTAAGCTGCAGAAAACTGCCATCGATTAAGAAATAAAAACAGCTGAAACCGGTTTGGCTCAGTGGATGGAGCATCGGCCTGTGGACTGAAGGGTCTCGGGTTCGATTCCAGTCAAGGGCATGTACATTGGTTGCGGGCACATCCCCAGTGGGGGGTGTGCAGGAGGCAGCTGGTCGATGTTTCTGGCTCTCTATCCCTCTCCCTTCCTCTCTGTAGAATATCAATAAAATATATTTAAAAGAAAGAATTACAAACACAAACAACCACTGTTAAAAATACATTTATCATTAAAATATATTACACATATGAGAGAGGGGATGCATTGAATACAGTATGGAGAATTTGCTGGCCCAGAAAGTCCCACTTGTTTAACCAGAACACCAATTTCTTCCGTATTTTCATTTTCAAGCCACTGTATTGACCTCAGTGGCTGAGTGGCCAGCCCCAGAGTTGTTGCACCACATCTGTGCAGGAAAAGGAATAGGTTTTGCATCTGCATTTACACATGTCCTCAGAGTGCTAGAAGCATCTGGGGTGGCTATAGCCTATTTACCCTGCATTCTTGTCCAAATCGACTTATTCTCCTTTCAGTTCCAAAGTGTGCTCAAATATTTGATCATGAGGAGCTCACCCCAGGCGACAGGGAAGGCACTGACTATGCCCTGGAGACAAGCTGAGTGAGCACAAGTACAGGTATTAAACATTGGGGGAAAAAAAGAAAAGAAAAGAAAGAGAGAGAGAGAGGGAGGGAGGGAGGGAGGGAGGGAGGAAAGAAAGAAGAAGGAAGGAAGAAGGAAGAAGGAAGGAAGGAAGGAAGGAAGGAAGGAAGGAAGGAAGGAAGGAAAAGGAAGGAAAGGAAGGAAGGAAAGGAAGGAAAGAAGGACGGAAAGAAGGAAGGAGGAAGGAAAGGAAGAAAGGAAAGAAGAGAAGGAAGGAAGGAAAGAAAAGGAAAGAGGAAGGAAAGGAAGGAAGGAAGGAAGGAAGAAAGAAAGAAAGAAAAGAAAAGAAAGAAAGAAAGAAAAGAAAGAAAAGAAGAAGAAGAAAGAAAGAAAGAAAGAAAAGAAAAAGAAAGAAAAGAAGAAAGAAAGAAAAAAGAAAAAAGAGCCCTGACTGGTTGGGCATTGTCCTGTGCACCAAAAGGTTTCTGGTTCCATCTCTGGCACATGCCTGGGTTGGGGGCTCAATCCCTAGGGGGTGGGGGTGGGGGGTGGGGAAATCAGGCAGAAGGCAGCCTATCAATGTTTCTCTCCCTCTCCGTCTCTCTAAAAAATCAATTTTTACAAATCTTTAAAAAAATAATCTATGTGTTAAATTAACTAAAGTTGAACATTGAATGTCAGTTTTATTGTGGTGGATTTCTCTCATGTCCTCACAACTCGCAGCAGCACTAAGTGTATAGCCATGGTGGGAGAAATGGCCTGGGCTCAGGAACTGGCAGCTGCCACTCTCGTTTCCAAGTGGCCTCACATCCTCCTGAGGCCGCTCTCGAACGGAAACAGGTGAGACTGGTAACTGGATGCTTCAGATAAAACAGGAGAAGAGACAGAGGCTCAGGGGGAGTTGCAGAGGAACTGGTGAATAAATTCTTGAGCCTTCTTCTCTGCCATTTCAAGCTTCTGTTGACCAGCTGGGTTTCGAAGCAGTAAGCTGCCAAATATGCTAGCTGCATGAAAAAACACAGAAAACAAATGATTCAGCAAAAGAAGGTACTAATTTTTTGTGTGTGTTATGAGTTGGAAAGGGCCCCCAAAAGCAAATTTTCTCCTTTAAGACCTATTTGAGGGTAAACTTTGCCCAGAGCTTGAGATTTTATTAGTGGACTTGGGACCTTCTACAACCACATTTCTTATAACGAGTCTCTCAGTTTGCAGAGATGCTTTCCAGACTCTTGGCTACTTACCTAGAATATTCTCATCCAAATGATTTTTTTCTGAATTTTTCAGCAACTCTCGCAAAAATGCCAGCAAGTAGTGGAAGACATTTTTGTGGAATGTGGGGAGAGTAGAAATGACCTGAAAGAGGCAGAATTGGGATTTGCCTTTTTATTCATTCAATTAAATAAGGGTCTGCTATATTCCAGGAATTGAGTACCTGATCCAAGTACATGAATAAGACTGTGCACAGAAAACCTTGACTACTTACCATTTGGCACAAGTACCAAAAAAACAGCACAGATGAAAAGAGAGAGAAGCACAAATCGAGTATTACATGGACTTAGAGGTCAAACTTCTATGTGCTCTCCAAAGACTTAAGGAAATACAATAGAAGACACAGGTTTTGAATATAAGACAAGACTGGACTTGCAGAGGTAAGGACTTGGGTAATTAGGACAAAAGTATAAAAAAGGACAAGAGAAGGAAAGCAGTGCGATAAGGAGAGAGAGCACTTTGTGAGAAGTCATTGTTGGCAGGAGCATAACTGAACAGGTGCTAAGCTGGAAGGAGTCAGGCTAGAATTCAATAAGTACTCCATCCACCTGCACATGACAATCGGTTAGGAAGCTTGTACAAAGTAGATTCCAAAAGAGATTATGATTCAGTGAATGTGGGTTGAGGCTCTAGGATCTGTATTATTAGGTTTTCTAGATGATTCTGTTATATATGTGAGCAACTAGAGTAGATCACAGAAAGTATTAAATCTTTAGAAAAATCATTCATTGGCAATAGAAAGCCAAGTATGGTCTTTGGCCAACAGTAACACGATGAGAGCTTTAAAACACAACCTAATGGCAGAATACAAAACAAATGAGCAAAGGGAGAGCCTGAATGCAGGGCCTTGCACCAAGGAAAGTGGAAGGAGAACGGGAGAGAAAAGATGGGTGACAGATCAAGTGGAGTGGGCATGTGGGAGGTGAGAAGTGGAGGAGTCAGAAATGACTCAGGTTTCTGGGTTGAGTCACTACAATTAAGTGTGATGCCATTAAAAGAAAAAGGGGAGGAGAGGAAAAACAGGTTTGGGGAGGAAAGATACAGGTGAGTTTCTAAGATATTGCATGGGAGGGGCTGTGACTGCTATTCCCTCAGGCCCCAGAGGGCCTGGGGCTGCAGCATGTGTATGCTGGTGCCCAGTGCTTACCCTCACCTGTTTACTGGCTGTGTAGTTTCCAGAACACTCCAAGCAGTTATGGTAGGCGCTGTAGCAGATGACGGGCTCTGGCAGGCTCTCCAGGAAAAGCAGCAAGGCTTCGGCTACAGAGTGGTTGCTAAGGGCTTTTGGCCCATCGTTAAGGAACAGGTGATGCTGCTGCCCGTGGTTAGGAAAAGGCCCAGGACCGAGCACATGCCGAAGTGCTACCTGCCTGCTAGCATGAAGGAGCCACGCTGGGTGTCAGCTTAGTTGGGCTCTTCTTAGTTCCTACTATATTGGTTGCTTAACGTTGTAAAGACTTCTCTATGCAAACTTTCAGTAAGAAAAACATATTCGCTGAGGGCACAATATCTGATTTTGAGCTTTAACCCTTTGCACTCCGAACTATTCTGGACATTGGCTACCAGCTACTTGACGCTACTTTGCGGTGGACACGTGCATTGAATTAACTCAATTCCCCACAATCACTAATAAACTGCAATGTCCCCCCTGAGAGGGGACATCTGAGTGATATGCTAGAATTCCGATGTCCCCTGAGAGGGGACAGCGGAGTGCAAAGGGTTAAAATGCTATTTCCTTTTTCTCACCTCTCTTATACATACACAGACATAAAGGATACAGAGGGTATCAAGGTTATCAATCATTCCAGCATCCAAACAGTCCCTGATTTGCTCAAATTCCAACCTTCGGCCTGGCTGTTGAAACAGATCCTCCTGCAAAAGGGAAGAGTGTCACAAAGCAATTATATTCTCAGAAAATCAGCAATGAATTCCTGACCTAGAAATACATATAATTTCCAGCAGAGAACAAAAAGAAGCATGTAGTGCGGCCTCTGAGTCACCCTGATAGACAACCTGATTTAGGCTGGTGTGGCCAATTAATTCACCTTGGAGGCTTTCCCAGGCAGGCTCCCACAACAGGTCTTCAGAGTGAGTGATAAGACAACTTTTGTAAAACTATGGGTAGGGCTGTGATATACAACAGGAAGATCCAACATAAGGGAAACTTAAAAGCAGCTATGTTTCCTTTATGTTACAGAGGGACTAACCAGAAAAAGAAAATTATGAAGAAATTATGTCCTTTATAAGATGAAGAAAATTAAAATGTAGTTCAGTGCTTTATGAAAACAAGATTATGGCAACAAAGGTATTTCCAGTAGTCCCAGGGGACTTTACATTCCTTTGTTGTATAAAATGTCAATGCCATCTAACTGTGTTGATAATAACCATATTACATGTATTGTTCAAAAGTTACACTTCTCTATAGAGAAGTTAGAAGAGCATGGTATGTAAGAAAGTGACTTCTCTCCAGCTGGCGTGGCTCAGTTGATTGTGCATCCACCTGTGAACCAGGAGGTCACGGTTCGATTTCTAGTCAGGGCTTATGCCAGGGCTGCAGGCTTGATTCCTGATGGGGAGAGTTCAAGGGGAGCTAATCAATGATTCTCTCCCTTTATTGATGTTTCTATTTCTCTCTCTGAAATCAATAATATATTGTTTTTAAAGGGGAAAAAAAAAGAAAGAATGTGACTTCTCTAGCCAGATTCCTTGGGTTCAGATCCCAATCCTGCCCATTAATCAGCTTTGGGACCTTCACCAAGTTATTTACCTTTCTGAGAACTGAATGAGGCAATCCTATAAAACACTTAGAACATTTGGTACATTGTAACACTCAATGTGAAAGAAAAAACGTGAAAAGAGAATATCATAAGAATATATGTTGCTCGGTCTCCCTGCGACCTATATAAATGAGTCAGTGAGACTGGCTAATCTGATCTCAATGACATTGCCTAAGTCACTGTAGAAATCAGGCCTCCTGACTCACATAACCTGGGAATTCCTCCTGCCTCTGTCTGGTTGTCACAAGTTAGCACATCCCCTTCTCAGAAGCTGGGAGAGTTCCTGAAAAGGATACCTGGCTAAGCGCCTGAGAGCGCTCCAGGTGGCTTTCTACATGGGCGCCCCAGGCCAGGGGAGGGAACAGGCAGTCCTGTGCAAGCCTGCTTCCCTTGGGGGTAACCAAGTAACATCATGATCCCCCAAGGGTGTGAAACAAGAACCTATTTATCCGACATTCACTCCCTGAGGGAAGAACAGCTTTCCACAGGTTCTCGGGATTAAAAGCTGCTTACACCAAACACTGGGGCTGATGCTCTTTCTCAGGGCAGCCCGGCCTCCATCAGGGCTGACTGTGGAAGCACCCACCTCCCGGGCAGCATTTCGGTGCAGGAAGTCAACCATCATCCAGAGCTCTTTGGGGATTTCCATGGGGTTCTCCAGCTGGCTGCCATCATCTTCAGTCCAGAGTGGCATCAGAGTCTGAAAAAATAAAATAAAAAGACTCAGCAGCCCCACCCAGAGAACTTACTCTATGCTGGCTTAGGAGAACACAGGGTGTGGGGACAGCAAACCCATGGGAGAAAGGGAACATTTCAATGCTCTTAAGCAAGCATTCCACAGTCGGAAATGAAATCAGGTGGCACAAAGTACAAAGGTGATTTTTTAGAATTAGGAATGCATTACAGCAAGAAGTGTCCGTGAATTGTGTAACAATATGCATCAACGGCTTAGGAAAAATCCTGCCGATACCATTTCACTGTCAGAGCTAGAAAGCCACTGTGGTCCAGGTAAAATAGGACACAGACTTGAGAGTCCAAAAACCAGGATGCAAGGTCCAGGTCCAGTGCTAACTTGCCATGTGACCGTGATAAATCAATCTCCTTATGAAGCCTCAGTTTTCATCTGTATAATGGAGAGGATGGTGTTCAAGAGTACCTAGATTTAGGGGACCGGCTTGGCTCAATGGATAGAGCGTCGGCTTGGGAACTGAAGGGTCCTGGGTTCGATTCCGGTCAACAGCATGTACCTTGGTTGCAGGCATATCCCCAGTAGGGGGTGTGCAAGAGGCAGCTGATCGATGACTCTCTCTCATCAATGTTTCTGGCTCTCTATCTCTCTCTGTACAAAATCAATAAAATATATTTAAAAAAAAAAAAAGAGTACCTAGATTTAAAAATGCATAGGTGAAAAAAAATGCATGGGTGGAGAAACAATTATAATAATCTGAACAATAAAGATTAAATTTTTAAAAAATGCATGGGTGGGAGGAGAATATGTATTACTATAAATCTGCTCCACACTAGTTGCCTTGTATAAGAATTGTCTCCATAGGAACCTCTGAGGTCTCAGAAAATTTAGTTTTGGATGATACATGACCAAACAATGATTAAAAATAAGAGAAAAAAAGTAAATAGAAAATAAGATGATGAACATGGGCCAGGGAACCTTCATTATCATCGTATCCATGGCCGAGTTTATCTAACGCACTGTGTATGAAAGACTGAAAAACACGACCACAACGTTTCGTAGCTTTTTCTATCAAGTGGTAGAGTCTCTTTCTGCCCTTGGAATCTGGGCTGGCTTCACAATTTGCCACCATCTGATTGCTACTGCACAGATGAGCCTACACAAGATCAGCGGAAGAGGTAAACTGGAAACAGGAGGAGCAATAATTTGGATAATTTCAACCATTAAGAGTTCAGGGTGGTTTTGTTACACAGCAATACTGTGCATAACTGATACAATAAGCCAGCTCTAGGAAGGCTGAAGAATTCCCAGATCCCTGGGAATAGCCTGTTTGACAGACATGGCTGCTACACAGTACTAGATGTTTCCTTGGCTCATAACTCACCAGCTCTCTCACAGTTTCAAGCGGCAGGTCAGAGATTGGCTCCCTCATGTAGCACAGTGTATGAATGGGAGATCCGAAACAGCTGGGCACGTAGTTCCCAGACACAGACAAAAAGTAATCCTTTCCCCTCTCCAAGTGCAAAACAAGAATGTCCTCAATTTTGTCTTCACCAGAGTTGAGCTTTGTAGCCATGGTCTTACTTACAAATATCTCCAAGTCAATCTCAACGGCCGAATCTGAAGAAAAATTTAAAAAGTAATGTTGGCTGGTGAAAGGTCAAGAGAAAGGGTGCAGAGGGAAAGGATAGAAAAGGAAGAGAGTCAAGCAGGCCTAAGGGTTAAGAAAGGGAAATAAGAGCCAACCAAGTATTTATGTGCTCAGCACTCAGGAGACACACGAACAGAATTGATAGTCCAAGTGGGAATATGAAAACAACAAATAAAAACGTGAATAGGCAACTACTGTGAAATTTAAGTTCTAAGTAGCAAAGCTTAAACCAATTACTAATCACTAAGAAGGCATGGTTCAAAGAGCTTACCCTGAGCAAGGTCAGATAAAGATATCTGATCCAGTAGAAAATATAATGAAACTATCACCCTGTGAATTGTCCACAAAGCAGGCTTAATCCCTCTGCCACATAACACAACATAGAGTGCAAAGGAGAAGTTAGGGGAGAGATTTGCATGGTACATTCCAGAGCCAGATATAATTTTGGGGTTATCACCCCATTATCTTTCCCTACAAGAGCAACTGGGAGTTGATTATGGTGAGGCAGACAATAAAAATGATGCTTTTTGTTTGTGGTTGTGCTCACCCAAGAATATGTTTTTTTTTATGAGAGAGAGAAAGAGAAACATCCATTGGTTGCCCCCCCATACACACAACAACCAGGAAACAAACCCGCAACCTTTTGGTGGATAGGACAACGCTTCAACCAACTGAGCCACTGGCAAAGGTTAAAATGGTTAACAGCCCTGGCTGGTTTGGCTCGGCTTGCGAACTGAATGGTCTCAGGTTTGATTCCAGACAGGGGCACAGGCCTGGGTTGCAGTCTCGATCCCCAGTGTGGGGTGTGCAGGAGGCAGCCAATCAATGATTCTCTCTCATCATTGATGTTTCTATCTCTCCGTTCCTCTCTAAAATCAATAAAATGTTTTTTACAAAATGGTTAACAGCAGCAGCTGCTTCACAGCAATCTTAGGTTTTCTCTTTCTGTGAAATGATGGAACAAATACATGATTGAGAATGCTTCTGAAGCTGAACTCACGCTCCTCACTATTTCATATTTTATATTTTTTATTTTATTTGTAGATGATTCATTCATAGGACTTTTTTTTTTTTTTTTTTTTTTTTTTTGCACACCTCCCACCGGGGATGTGCCCGCAACCAACGTACATGCTCCTGACCGGAATCGAACCTGGGACCTTTCAGTCCGCAGACCAACGCTCTACCACTGAGCCAAACCGGTTTTGGCCATTCATAGGACTTTTTAAAAGTTCAAAAAAACAACAAAACACTCAAACAAAAAGCTTATTACAGAAAAATGAGCAAAGATAGGGGAGAGTGTACCCCAAATCAGTACCAAGGACCTGGAACAGGCCTTACCTGGCAGGAGGAACCCTTTGCTGGGGTTGGCATTCAGCCACGGCTTACAGTAAGACTCTTCATCAGGCTTGTTGATGAATTCAAACTGACAGGGTACTTGTCCATTATGAATTGTAAAGGATTCCACTTGCAATTGCATGTACTTCACATTCTGAAAACAGAACTGGGAACAAGCCCAAAACCCATCAGACCAATGTCCTCTTCTCGGCAACCCGTCCAGACACCCAACTGGGTACTCCTTGCCCTTTCTGGAAAGAAAATGAAGGACCAGCCCTAGCTGGTTTGACTCAGTGGATAGAGAGTTGAACTGAAGGGTCCCAGGTCAATTCTAGTCAAGAACACATGCCAGGGTTATGGGCTCCATCCCCAGTATAGGGGTTGCAGGAGGCAGCCAATCAATGAGTCTCTCACATCACTGGTGTTTCTCTCTCTCCCTTCCTCTAAAAAAAAAAAAGAAAGAAAGAAAGAAAGAAAGAAAAGAAAAAGAAAATAAAGAAGGACCACTTCTTTCAAATCATGTTTCTTCTCTACGTTACCTAGGAGGCCACAGCTACTGCTAAAGACCAATTGTCTGTGTTTAACCCAGAAACCAAAAAACTCAAAGAAAGCATGTTGTTTTATAAATAAATTTCCTGAAGGAACCAACGTATCTTCTACACCCAAACAAACTTAAGACCAAACTTATCTTTCCAAGTGGCTGGACATTTAAGGTATTAAAAGTACTCTCACCATAAATACCCGTTTGACTGACCTCTTGGTATTGTTAATTCTGAATGATCTATGCTGTGGCTCTTTCATGAAAAATCTTTAACCCTAACCTGACTTCTCCCACTGACCACTGCTTTGCTTTTCTTTTTCTTTTTTAAATATATTTTATTGATTTTTTACAAAGAGGAAGGGAGAGGGAGAGAGAGTTAGAAACATCGATGAGAGAGAAACATCAATCAGCTGCCTCCTGCACACCTCCCACTGGGGATGTGCCACAACCAAGGTACACGCTCCTGACCAGAATTGAACCCGGGACCCTTGAGTCTGCAGGCTGATGCCCTATCCACTGAGTCAAACCGGCCAGAGCCCACTGCTTTTCTCTACTGCCTTCCCTACCATTAACTCAAGCATACCCAAGAAATTCAGACTCCATTTGATCTCAAAGCAACACATCAGTAGGAAGACAAACCCAATATAAGAATACACACCAGTTATATTAAAATTTACAAAAACAAAACATATTTTGGATCACCTTTGCCATTATTTAACTCACAGATGGCTCGTGTGTAGGTGAAATCTATGAGCCACAAATGGCTAAAGGCTTCTGGTTTAGATCAGGAGATGAACATGGTATAAATCAACAACCCCTTTCTTCTCAGCTAGCATCAGCAGCCTCACTTTATCCAGAAGCAGCCTATCAAGAAAGACTAGAGTTCAGTAGGCTAACGGTACCTCCTGGGATTCTGAGCCCTCATAGATGAAATTTAAGCTCTATGAATAGAAGATGCTGATATTCTTTCTTGTTTTGTTTTGTTAATCCTCACCCAAGGATATTTTCCCATTGATTTTTAGGCAGTGGAAAGGATTGGGATAGACAGAGAGAAGCATCTCTGTGAAAGAGACACATTGAGCTCTAACCGGTTTGGCTCAGTGGATAGAGCGTCAGCCTGCAGACTCAAAGGTCCCAGGTTCAATTCCAGTCAAGAGCATGTACTTTGGTTGTGGGCACATCCCCAGGAGGGGGTGTGCAGGAGGCAGCTGGTCAATGTTTCTAACTCTCTATCCTTCTCCCTTCCTCTCTGTAAAAAAAAAAAAAAAAAAAAAAAAAAATCAATAAAATATATTTTAAAAAGAAAGAGATACATTGATTGGTTTCAAGGTCTGAGGCACATTCCCTTGACCAGAATCATATTTGGGACCCTTCAACCTGGGCCCAGCCTTCAGTTTGTAGGCCAACACTATCCATGGAGCCTAACCATCCAGGGCTGATGCTGATTTTCTTCTTCTTTTTATAATATATATCTTTTCATTGATTTCAGAGAGGGAGGGAGAGGGAGAAAGATATAGAAATCTCAATGATGAGAGAGAATCATTGATCGGCTGCCTCCTGCACACCCGCTACTGGGGATCGAGCCTGCAACCCAAGCATGCGCCCCTGGCTAGAATTGAACCGGGGAAGCCAATGCTCCATCTACAGCTGAGCCAAACCAGCTGGGGCACAATGCTGATTTCTTAACAGCCCCTCCTACCTCCAGCCGGGAGAGCGACACAGAAGGAATGTTATCATTTTCCATCTTGTCCAGGGATCGAACAATCTCCTCCAGAGCCTTCCGGTAAAGCTCTTCATCTTTAACCCTCACCTGGAAGGAAACATCAGAGGCTGAGCCCCACGGCTCCAGCCCAGTTCCTGCTTGTCAGTTTACCGGACATTCCTGGTGGAAAGCGGAGACTAAGTAGAGTTAATTAATTAACAAAAATCCCAATCAACAACAGACCTATTGTAGAAGGGCCGCCCGGAGGCAAAGCCAACTGCCTCCTTGTCAGCAGAAAGAGGATGCGGAGGGGAAGCCCGGTGGGCAGTTCTCCCAGGCCTCAGGACCAGGGCGGAGGATGCTCAGCGCTCAGCTCTACTTGGCTTGCTGCTGCCAAAAGGCCTACAGTAAGAAACCTCTCTAGAGCTTGGACTTAAAGCAGCATTTCTTTAAAAAGCATTTCTTAAGCTTTTTTTAACTATAATAACTGCTCCAACAGACAAGATTTTTTCAAGTTTTCCCTTCTGTATTTTGAATTATAAACACAATTTTGTCACTTTCTAGCAATAAAACTGTAATTATAATATTCATTAGGCTTTTTTTTCAAATCACCCACACCTTCACGGATTCCAATATGCTTCTACCTGGACCCTTGAGAACTGATAAACACTGAAGTCACTGAAAAAGAGATACAAATAGGGAATAAATTAAAAGATGTCCAGCTTCACTAGTAATCAGGGAAATGTAATCTAAAATAATGAAATATATTTTTCTGCCGAAGCCGGTTTGGCTCAGTGGTAGAGCGTTGGTCTGCGGACTGAAAGGTCCCAGGTTCGATTCCGGTCAAGGGCATGTACATTGGCTGCGGGCATATCCCTGGTGTGGGGTGTGCAAGAGGCGGCTGATCGATGTTTCCCTCTCATCGACGTTTCTAACTCTCTCCATCTCCCTTCCTCTCTGTAAAAAATCGATAAAATATATATATATATATATATATATAAAAAGAAATATATTTTTCTTTTTGCTCACTGTGTTGGTAGAAATTCAAAAGATTGCTAAAACCCACTATTAGCCAGGGTGTGAGAAAATAAGGTCATACATGGTTGGCAGAAGTGTAAAATGGTAAAAACTGCTGGGAGGATAATTTAGGAAAATTTAATAAATTTAAAATACATTTTTCATTGAACCCCTAGGAATTTCATTCTATAGAAATACACTGGTACACAAAGATACATGAAGGGTGGTTACCATAGCACTGTATACAATAGCAAAACTTTGGAAACAAATGATCAACATATACACTGTGGCGTATGTGGAAACCTTTAAAAATAATGAGGGAGCTCTGCCTTTAGTGTCATCTAAAGGTCCCGAGACATAGTCAGGGGGGAAAAATATGTTCTCAGGACAATGTGCATAATATGACCTCTTTTACAAGAAGGAAAACCTTCCTCTAGAAATATTCCCTGTGTCACACAGAGAATGCTGACACACATTTGTAAATGCATGGAGAAAGGTCTGCAGAGATTCAGTCCAAAAAGAGAAACTTCCATGAAGGTAGAAACATACAGTGGTAGTATGTCAAAGCAATTGTGAATCAAATTGAAATTAAAACAATTTTTAAAGGAGCTTCATCATAATCAAGGGAAGAGGACACCAGAACGAAAAAAGGAGTCTTGGTTGTGAGAGCCTGTTATCCCCCACGGAATGGTGACAACGGACGCAGCTGCCCACCTACCCCAATGTCAAACTCCGAGCTGACAGGCTTGTGGTCACTGGTCTTCAGGGCCATGTGGCTCTGGTAACTCAGCTGAGTAATGTTCTTCCCTTTCCAGAGGATCCGGTCACACCAGGCAGGAGCGCGACACTTCTCGCTGAAACGCAAAGTCCACCCTGGGGCCTCACAGGCACAGCAGTACCCACTGCCTGGCTAGCCCCTGGCTCAGCTGGAGGATGACTGGGCAGAGCTGTCCAGTCCTCAAGGCCCAGTGATCTGAGAGGTCAGGAGCGATTTGGGCTCACGGAGATATAACATGTATCCTGTGTATCATCCAAAACACCGTTCAGAACGATTCCCTGCTCTCTGGCCTCCTACGGGGGATGAGGCGAGAGTCAAAAGGCAATCTGACAGTAAGTACTCTGTGGTTCTTAAAAGATGGTGGTTAAAACAGGCTTTGACTTCCTACTGCCTGGATTCCAATCCTGGCTCTCCACTTGCCTGCTTGGGAGGCTCTTTCATTTTTTAATGCCTCAGTCCCCTGATCTATAAAACGAGAATAACAAAATCATACCTATTTGGACAGGTTGTTGAGAAGATTAAATGAGATAATGCAGGTAAAATGCATTGAATAGGGCATGGCATACCATAGGCATTAATAAAATGTATGAACTATAATACTATGTAGTGACCAAGTACAACCTAAGCTAGTTGGAATCATCTTATCCCCCTGAGAATAACTTAAAAGTAAATCAGTCACAAGAATGATTAGGGAACAAAGGCTAAAGCAATCAAATAGAAAACAAGGAGGAAGGCAGGCTGCTTAATGAGCAGATACTGAGAGAAAATGTTTAACCAAAGTACAAAATACGGAGAAAAGTCACAATAAATCTATCTTCCCTTTTAGGCCCACGAGGGCAAGTGATTCCCTAAATTTCTGGGCTTCTGTTTGCTTGACCCCCTGAAGCGACCTCTGACCTACCTGGTATCCCACTCGTCGGAGCCAGTATCATATTTATAGGTAGGCTGGAACGTGAGTTCACCTTCTGTGAAGCCTTCAAAGACTGCCTTTGCAGCCATCTGAGCTTTCAGCTATACAAAAGGATGGAAGGAAAAAAAAATCTCAGAATAAAAAGGTCAAGCTTTGAATTAGCAGATAGCAATTTTAAATCTGAACCCTAATTCAAAGGGCAAGGCCCATGAAAAAGATAGTCTGGAAAGTTATTTTTGTTTGTTTGTTTCACTTCCCCCTCCCCCGCCCCTTTTTATTGACTTTATTGGGGTGACACTGATTAACGAAATTACATAGGTTTCAGGTGCACAATTCCACACATATCAGCTGTAAGATCTTGAATTAACTAACTTCCAGGAAGAGGAGCAAGCAAGCTAAAATTTCCTTTGGCTGTTACACAGTTTTTAAGGTGTTTTTATAGGAGTTACTGCATCCAGGGAGCCTGAGTACCATCTTACTGACAGGTCCCTAGGAGGTTTAGGTACCAACAGACAGAGCGTTTCCTTTTTAGGTATCAAACGCTTCTTCTGTGTAGCACAGTTGTTTTAATTAATTACACTGAGAGACAAAACTGCCTATAAAAGAGTCTGGAAAGATACAGTCCAAAAAGCAAAGGGAAACTTCCATTATGTAGAAACATATAGTAGAAATATACCAAGCCAACTATAGTTTAAATTTAAAAATCACTTAAAACAAACACTTTCAAAAGAAGCTTGTCCAGTTAGTGTACTGAAGGAAGCTGTGTGCCTTGATTTCTCCAACGGTAAATTCTGGACTTAGAATCTGCTTCACAGGATTGTTGGAAAATGAACTGTTGACTTAGAACAGTGCTGGCACATTATAATAGCTAGTATCCTTCTTAGTGCACTAATTCTGGGAGCTCCTTCCAGGTCACACTCTCGGCAAGAGATAAAAACACAGGTGCTCTGCCTCTCTGCCCCCTGCCCCAAGCTGGGTGCTAAGTGAACTGAGGAAGAACTGTCAGCTCCAATGGAGAGACAAGAGTTGCCAAATTCTCCCAAAAGCGAATTCCTAGAATAAATTAATAAAGTAAAAGCAATAGAAAATAAAACATTTAGGTATTAAGGTAAGCTGATGCTTCTTGAATGAGCATATGTTGACCTTAAAACCATCGGAAAGCAGAGAACACACAAAACAGCTACTATTACTTGAGGAAAGACCGGAAAAGAAGGCAAGAGGAGATGAGTATTAAACTCCCAGGGAAATTAGAATGCCTCAGTCCAGAATACAGAAGCAAGAAACAGACAGTTTAGAATAGAATAGAATAGAAAAGAATAGAATGGATTAAGGTTGAAATGGGTATTAAAGAGAATAAAAGTAATTTACCGCCGAGACTGGTTTGGCTCAATGGATAGAGCGTCGGCTTGGGGACTGAAGGGTCCCGGGTTCGATTCCGGTCAAGGGCATATATATCGGGTCTAGTAATAATTAATGTCGTTTTTTAAACATTCATTTAAAATCTTGCTTGGCATTGACTTGTATTGACATAACCTTCAAACACGTGGTATCTACAGAACGTATGAAGTGCAATTAACAAGTTTTGCTTGAAAAAGTTTGTGTTTGGTTTGGTTTTTGTTGCAAAACTAGGGCTAAGAAGATGGCGGATGAAGAGCATATTCGACACTGCATGCTTTACGAGTTCCAATTAGGAAGAAAAGCAAGTGAGGCTGCAAAAAACATCTGTAGTGCTCTTGGTCAAGATGCAGTTAGTGCCAGAAAATGCCAGCGTTGATTTGAGAAATTTCGCGAGGGAAATTTTTCGTTAGATGACAAGAGTGGTCGAGGCCGTGTGTCCAATTTTGATCAAGAAGCTCTTCAAGCTCTTTTGGTGCAAAATCCTCAAATTACCCAACAAGAGCTTGCGACAACTTTAAATTGTTCACAAAAAACAATTTCCAATCAATTGCGTGCACTTGGCAAAGTCCAAAAGTTTGGAAAATGGGTTCCTCATGAGTTGACCGACAACAACCATAATCAAAGAGTCACAATTTGCAGTTCGCTCCTCTCTCGTCAAAACCGTTTGCCGTTTTTAGAGCAAATTGTTACCGGAGATGAAAAATGGGTGCTGAATATTAATTTGAAAAGGCGGCCTCAATGGTTGGACAAAAATGAGGCTCCGCAGCCCACGCCAAAACCTGACTTGCATGTGAAAAAAGTGATGTTGTGTGTTTGGTGGAATTTTAAAGGAATTCTTCATTATGAACTTTTACCGTCTAACCAAACCATTACAAGTGCAGTGTATAGTGCCCAATTGGAAAGGTTAGCCCAAGCTTTAAGAGAAAAAGAACCTGCGCTGATTAATCGGAAGGGCGTAATTCTTCACCACGATAACGCACGACCACATACTGCAAGAATCACTGCTGAAAAACTGCGCCAGTTGGAATGGGAAGTTCTCCCTCAACCTGCATATTCTCCTGATATTGCCCCTTCCAATTACCATTTGTTTCGTTCTTTGCAAAACTTTCTTCTTGGAAAAAAATTTAATAATGAAGAATGCCTCAAAAATGCATTGACCGAATTTTTTGCATCAAAATCACAAGAATTTTACAACAGAGGGATTAAAATGCTTCCTGAGCATTGGGCACAAGAAGTAGAAAACAACGGCAACTATATTGTTGATTAAATTTTGTTGTATTGTTTAAATAAATTCAATTTTAAAAAGTATTAGAAAACAACGTTAATTATTACTAGACCTAATAATACCTTGGTTGCGGGCATATCCCCAGTAGGGGGTGTGCAAGAGGCAGCTGATCGATGACTCTTTCTCATCGATGTTTCTAACTCTCTATCTCCCTCCCTTCTTTTCTGTACAAAATCAATAAAATATATATTTTTTTAAAAAAGTAATTTACCAAGGAAAACAGCTACAGAGAGAAAGATGGATTAATAAAGAGATTATTCCATAAAGAAAGATTTTTTTTTTTAAGATATAAAGTTGACGGGTTTTTTCCTGCAATTGATCTGCACTAGGGAGAAAAAGATAACTGAAAAGTGTAGACTAATGAATACTAAGATTATTTAAAGGGGGACATAGACTAGAAAGAAAAAGAGCTTTATCATTCTGAACAATTCTGACCACTAGAACCGCTTTCAGTCTATTGAGGAGTAGCCTAAAGAAAGAGAGAAACTGACTGCTCTTGTCCTGTGAAATGGCTAATGCTTGGAGACAGAAATGGTAACCCAAACAATGGCAGGAGAAAAGCAGGTTATAGAACTAATTCCCACCGGAAGTGAAGAAAGCAGGAAAAAGAGTTGTCATTCACATTGGACAAGTCTGGAGAGGAGAAAGAGAGGGAAACAGAAGACAAATTCAAAAGAATTAGAAATCATTTTAAATAGCCACTTATCTTATTTATGAGAAGTCTGGTATCCCTAGTCCCAACTTGAATGAATGAATGAGCACACACAGGGCAGAGAGACAGAAAGAAAACAACTCCTGCTCCCAAGAGAAGAGGGACCAGGCACCTCAAGTGACAAGCCAATGGGAGACAACTATGGACTATGGAAATGCAGATGAAAGACATGGTTGGACAGCAGCTGCTCAGGGAAACCTCCGCGCTGAGGAAGAAGAGGCTGGGAGTTGAAAAGCCAAGCTTTTCTGAGAGGGCACAGGTGGCCATCGGTACCTGGTCATAAGCATACAGGGTTTGAAAGTCCTTCTCTTCGATGAGCTTTTTCACTTTTTCCATATCCAACTCTTCTATCCTGTAGTTGAGGTCCCCCAGCCACAAGATCACACTGCAAAGACAGAGCACAAAGGTCGCAGGGGATTTTACCCATCTCATCACAGAAGGCCCCTGAGGCTCAGCCTGTTGGGAGCTGGGTGGGGAAATGATTCAGCCGCTCAGGAAATCTTTCTCTTGTCCTCTCATTTAATACCATGTCTACCAAGCTGCTTACACAATTATCTTGGTCCAAGTTCATTATAAACTGCCTCGAGTTCTCCTTGACTCCTTTATATTCTTGTATGGTTGGAAAGATAATCTAATAGGATCTAAAAGCAAGACAATAATTCACTTCCTTCTTGGGAAGAGGCAAAAAGATCAAGTTTGGGGAGTCATGCCAATCATCCAGGGACCCCAAACTAGATGATGCCATGATGTTGCCTCTGCCTCCATGCACATTCCAGTCCACAAAACACACCCTCAGCCTTTGTTTCTAGAGCTGAGTTACTCTGAAACAAAGCTCAACCTCTACAGTAGAATCTGGGTTTAACCACCACCATAGCATCATCGGTTGGCTCTTTTGGCAAGTGTGATGGGTGTTTTATGGCACCTGATGCTTTTGGGGGAAAATTAATGGAATGTTCCTCAATGACACTGCACATCCCATAAAGTCCGAGAGGCAACAGCCAAGTCACGAGAGAACCTGCAAAGCAGTACACCCTCCCCCCCAAATAAAAGCAGACAAACTGACATGCAAGTTGCAACCTCACAAACTAGGGTGCTGCAGGCTTAGCAGAATTGAAGACACACTTCCTGCTAGGTTCCCTGGAGAAGGAAAGCCATCCTGTCAGCTTCTAGGACACCAGTGAGTTCAAGACAGTTCCACCATGGCAGCAGGCAGGATGAGAGGCTGGACTCTGAACACTCCCTGGCAGACACCATGGCCCCAGCAGCTCTTCCTCTTTTTTAAAAAAAGTGACACAAGCTTCAAGTGTTACTTTCAAGTCAGAAATTCTAATATGCCTTGAATTTAGACATAGAGGAAGTTTTAGAGATAAACGAAATAAAAAGATAGACAAAAATTAGCACAAAATGCTCCAAGCAGCTGCAACTACAGCTTTATAAAGTTGAGGTAGAAAAGACTAAATGAATTGGTTGCAGACACATCCCCATGGGGGGTCTGCAGGAGGCGGCTGATCGATGTTTCTCTCTCATCGATGTTTCTAGCTCTCTATCCCTCTCCCTTCCTCTCTGTATAAAATCAATAAAACATATTAAAAAAAAAAAAAAAAAAAAAAAGACTAAGTGAAGGCAGACAAATGCAGTCCTTCTCAAGTACATATGCTCCTGGGAAGAGCAGACGCCTAAAATCCTGAAACATACTTCTAAAGCCTGGCGTTGAGATGCTCGCTCTTTGGCTGCTTGCATGGTGGTGTTGTATCAAAGCCGACCCGCATTAAAATAAGTCTTACACATTTGCCAGGGACACCTGACTTGAGAATTCTAGAGGTCTGCCAGATGGGAAATCAGGAAACTAAACCTTTCCAAGGGACATGATCCGCGTGTAACTGAGAGTTGGCTAGAGTCCCCACTCTGGCAGTCACCTCCCTAACAAAACAGGGGGCACCGTGACCTGTGGGGTAGAAGTCCAGACTCACTCGTGCTTGCCGATGGTGAGAGGGGGAAGGCTCGGGTCAACCTGACAAAACTGCATCCGAGAGCAGATGTCTTTAAAGTCCTGGTTCCTCCTCTCGTACTCTTCTGTGTGGGCTGCCAGGTGCGAGTTCACGACGCAGATGCTGCTGGTGTGGAACTGGAACCTGATGGCCACTCCTCCTTTGTTGCCCTACGAAGAGGAGCCCAGAGAAATCCAGCTTTGTCGGCTGATTAATTACGTCAGTTGTTTAAACCCGCAACCTTTCAAAATGTGTTCTCTTAGCGAGTCTTCATAATGACCCTGTGAGGTAGTAAAGCAGTATTACTGTCTGCATTTTACAGGAAAACAAATCCAAGGAGGAAGAATGACTAGCCAGCCCGTGGCAAGCTGAATCCATGTTCCATGCCATCCCAGGTAAGCCACATGCTCTCCCTTCTCCACGGGAGGCTGAGCTCTGGCAGTAGAATCTAAAAGCAGGGCTTTAATGGCCTCAGGAAGAGGAGGAAACGGCAAATCTGCATCAGCATTCTTTCTTTTCCTCTGTGACCCAATATAGTTTCTGCAACCTATTTCATGGATTAAATGGGAGAATAAACTAGAGACTCTAGTGTGCAGTAAACATGAGGACCTGTGCTAGTTGGACAAATTAGCCAGCAATTCCCTTAAATACCATTTGTAAAGTGGTCTGCTCAGTCCAGTCCTGCTGAGAGCACAATTCATCATCTAATGCCAGCATCCGCCCTGGGACACATGCGTCAAGGTATCATGAGAAGTGGGGACAAAACCTTAGGAATCAAGGCCCGTCCGTGTGCCAAACATACCACCAAGGACTCACCATCCTCCCCATGATTCCTGTCCCCACGGTCTCCGCTTCCACGTCTGAGATGTGTGCTGCATGTTCCTGTTTGACATATAACAGCAGCATAATCCCAACCAGTCGGATGAATTTCACCTGGAAAACAGAGTCAAACATTCAAGCCAAAGCATTAAACAGAAGGCAGAAACAGGAATAAAGATCCCAGAGGAGAAGTGGTCTCAAAGCTGGCTGAAAGTATTCATGTATCTCCTCCACACGAGGACCTAGGACAGTGGTCGGCAAACTCATTAGTCAACAGAGCCAAATATCAACAGTACAAGAATTTAAATTTCTTCTGAGAGCCAAATTTTTAAAACTTGAACTATATAGGTAGGTGCATTGTTATTAACTTACTTAGGGTACTCCTAAGCTGGCCTTTGCTAAAAACTCAAAAGGCCAAAGAGTCGCATGTGGCCCGCTGATGGTCGGCAAACCGCGGTTCAGGAGCCACATGCGGCTCTTTTGCCTTTTGAGTTTTTAGCAAAGGCCAGCTTAGGAGTACCCTAATTAAGTTAATAACAATGCACTTACCTATATAATATAAGTTTAAAAATTTGGCTCTCAGAAGAAATTTCAACCGTGGTACTGTTGACATTTGGCTCTGTTGACTAATGAGTTTGACGACCACTGATCTAGGGTAATCAATCACCTGTTCAACTCGGCATACTACGTTAACAACTTAGCCTACAAGTGCCAAGACCTGCATCTTGCCCACCCACAGGTGCCTTTGCTGGAGGACCTGGAACTGAAAATAGCAGGGTAATTAGGACTGGCTTGGGGAGAATGTGAGATACTGTCTTAGAATTTCCCTGTGTGGCAGCCTAATATCTGAAGGTCCCTGACTCCTCTCTTACCTTTGCATACTTGGCATCTGGATGAAGACTCTCTGATACAGCTTTAAACCACTCTTCCTCCTTCGGGGTGTCATGGAAGAAAAAGGCCTCCTTACTCAGATCAAGCTCCTGGAACCTAGCAGGAGAAGCAAGGAGAAAGTAGAGAAAGGTCATGTACAAGATGACACGTCCAATGATTGGTTTGGGTGCATAAATCCTAGATTCCTGGCTACGCTGCAGGACCCTCGAGAGAAGAAAAACAACAACACTCAGAGCCGAGAGTCAAAATGCTAAGGCACTTACCAGTGCTTTCACAGCCACAGAAAGGTCACATCTCACCTATACCATTTCCTCTTCATAACCAGCCTGTGAAGTGGTTGGAAGCATCCGCATTTTACATCTGAGATCACGAGTTCACACAAGCACCAAGCGGCAAAGGGGTTCAAACCTAGATCTCTATACATTCCAAGTTCTAGGCCCTTTCTACTTTACCATACAGGCTTCTTTACTGACCCGTCCCCATCAACAGTGCCCAGTGTAGTGGCAGGAGGATGGTAAGTGTGAAACAAAAAGAACTCACTGATGGGGCCTTTCTTTTTCTTCTTCTTTTTTTTTTTTTTTAAGCTAACCTTCCCTGGCAAAAGATATTCTTTGCTTCATGACCAAAAGTGTTGAATGTCTAAGTAATGAAAATAAGCTTAAGGTGCAGTGATTTTAACAAAGGATTATACTAAAAATTCAATACTAGCATTTGCCAAGCACATCACTGAAAGCGTGCCAGAAATGTGTTTAACTGTGAGGAAGAGTGTCAAACAGAGAAGCAGCTGTTACTAAGTACATATTCTTCAATTCCTTCGCCTGCTGTGAAGAATCAGGTAACTAAGGGATGGGCAAAAGTAGTTTTACAGTTGTGAGTACATAAAACAGTTTATTCTTGTATCATTATTTATTAATTGTTGTATTATTTCCCATAGGAACAACTGTAAACCTACTTTTGCCCATCCCATCTTCATGGCCCCCCTACCTTCAGCTACAGCCATACGTGTGAGAATGTGGAGGCGACTGGAAGAGAAACACTCACCCTACACAGTATACATCTGGGGCCTGGATACCATGACTTAGCCAAGGCCGAAGGCATTCTTTGGGGGACTGTCCATTCACATTGTACGTCCCCACAAAAAACCTGCATCAAAGAAAATCAATCGGTCACTTAGGAAGACGATGGAGACAACAAGGGAACACATTTGAAGACATAAGAAAGGTCACATCTAACCTATACCAATGACTGCCATCTGCTGTGATATCTGTTGCTCGTGTGATAATTTCAAACAGTGCAAGCCTACTCTAAACATTCCTACTTAGCTCTAACAGCCCTTAGAGAACTATAATCCACAAGATAATTCTTTACCCTGCATATGCTTCGGAAATGAAAAGTACTTTCAGAAGGAAAGCAACAGCAGTACTCATCATAATAAACTATTTCTATCCCTAGAAGCAACGTTACTTTGTCTTATGGTCACAGTGCAATAATTTAAAAAGATCTAGCAGAATCATGTAACCTGATTCATTTAACTTTCGGTAATCCTGTCTAAAAAGATTACCAAACACTAACTTCAATTTACTAACTTCAATTTAAATTATTTTCTTCAAAGGCCCAGAACGACCAAGGGTAGGCTATGTTCCTTTTTTTTTTTTTTTTTTTTTTTTTTTTTAATCCATATAGCTCTTCAAGTATTTCTGTAACTATTTGCAAGCTGTGTCACTCTCACTGCTCTACACCCACCAGAGTGCCTGGCCCGAAAAGGCACAGAATAATCGCCTGCTTATAAAGAGTGAAAGGAATCACTATCTTAGAAAATGAAGGAAGAGATCTGTAGTAGGATTTGCTTTCAAATCCAGGGTACTGGGGCTGGAGGTTAAGTGCTTAAATTTCAAAGAATCGAATGATCATTTTTCCTTTGGAAGCAGTCTAAGAGCCAGTCAGCTACCTGAAGTTCTGGATATAGGTATAATCCTCCTCTTTCTGCATCAGATGTGATTTCACCAGTGTTTCTCGTAGCCCAAACTTGTGCATCGACAAAATGTGAGCCTTGTCTGAGACTGTGATAGTGGAAGAGCGAACCATGTCGGTAATTTCCGACTTGGATTTAGTCTGTCTAGAAAAAATAGACAAAAAAAATGTGTTATCATATTTTGATGAGTCCTTCATGACATAAATATAAAGCTAGAAGTTTCCACACACAAGCATCTGAGTCACAGAAGGCAAAAGAGGCTAACGTAAAAACTTATTTGCTAAAACAACACGACTTCTATGTGGAATTAAGTAAACGTATATGTTGTGGATTATATAGTATATTGGGCCAGAGGGTTTCTGAAAACACATTCATAGACTCTCAGACCAGAAGGGGACCTAGAAATATTGTAATCTAACCCCTTCATTTTTCAAAGGGGGAAAAAATCAGACCCAGCATCATTAATGATTCACGCAGCTGGATGGTGTCAGAGAGTCTCATATAATAAAACTGTGAAATAATCCAGCCTTGGCCAGCGTGGCTCAGTTGGTTGGAGCATCATCCCATGCACCAAAAGGTTGTGGGTTCGACTCCCAGTCAGGGCACATACCTGGGTTACGGGTTCGATTTGTGTAGTTTAAGTCATATTAAAAATTATTCAAATGCCAACTTTAAAATTAAACAAAATTTGACACTTACCTAACAGAATCGTAATAATAGCTCCAGAAACTTTTGTTGAACATCACTTAATGAATTAAGATCTTGAAGTAATTTCTGACACTAAATAAATGCCACTTAAGTATTAGATATTACTCTTGTCATGTACATACAGGGTGGGGTAAAAGTAGGTTTACAGTTGTGAGTACACATTGTATTGTCATTTATTAATCATTCTATTATTTGCCATTTGAACAACTGTAAACCTACTTTTGCCCCACCCCATATTAACTAAGGCCATGTAAAAATGTATCTGTGTGTACCAAGAAGGTTCAAAGGTGAATGGAGAATGACACACCTGGGTTCACTTAAAGTTCAGGGTCTGATCATTGCAGCTTAAGTGCAAAATTAAAATACTGACACAATAAAGTAGTTTTATATACTATCACAAATATACTTTCACAAATATACTTTAACATAGTTACATATACTCTCACATATACTTTAACATAAAGTATCTTGACCAGGAGACTCTGGCTATGATCAGTAGGGAGCGCTAGAGTACATAGTACTAAATATAACAGCACATCAGAAAAAAAAGGGGTAAATGAAAATGGGAAAAAGAAGACTCTTCCGAGTCAGCCAACTCCTGAAAGAATGGGAAGACGAAATCAAAATGTTTCTAAATAATCTGCATTTCTAAGATAGATTTAGACGCCAGTTTCAAATCCGAGATCTACTACTCGCTGGTTCTAGATCTTGGGTGAGCTTTATAACCTCTCTTCATACCTGTTTCCTTAGCTGTAAGACAGAAAAATAATAGTACCTCCTTCTCGGGTTAAAATAAGATAACTTGTGTAACTATGTGGCATACACAGTAAGTTCTCAATAACTATCCAACGTTTCTTAGGCCAGCTACCCGGAGACACCTTGCCTCATGCACAGGGATGGCTTCAGTTCTACAATGAAGAAAACCTCAGTCCTAAGAGGTAGCAGTGAAAGGAGAGCTGATTACCTTGGGAGCAAGTTATCTGGTTTATCCTGACCCCTGGAGCTTTGGTCCACAAACAGGCCTTTCCCATTTGGCCTCAAACTGTCCAAGTTTGAACCACCTAAGTAGGGGGAGAAAGAATTAAAACATAGTTACATATACTCTCACATATACTTTAACATATAGATCACGGTTTTTCAGATCATACAAGGCATTACTGGTAGTCCACATGTTACCCAAAAACACAGGAAAGGCCTTTGTTGGTGTCTGGGTGGAGCTCCCACAAAGCATATACCAAGAAGAAAAAAAGAAAGTATTTCATCCAGCTGTCTACTGCTGAAAACATAACACTTCTTTTTCTTAGAGACAGTGCACTACAGGATGAATAAAGCTATGGTAGTTGCAGACCTAAGTTCTATCATTAGCTCTTGTTGTCCTTTGACTATTGGCAAGTCATCTAACCTCTCTGAATCTCAGTAACTTGGCCTGTGCTGCCCTCCTCACAGGTTTATTATAGGGATCAAAAAATTGACACGTGAGTAAGCATTCTGAAACAACACAACATAATATCCTATCCCAGTGGATAGGATATTAGTCAAAAGACCCAAATATCAACAGTACAACAATTGAAATTTATTAGTCAAAAGACCCAAATATCAACAGTACAACAATTGAAATTTCTTTTGAGAGCTAAATTTTTAAAACTTACAACTTTTTCTAACGCCACTTCTTCAAAATAAACTCACCCAGGCTGTGGTATTTTGTGGAAGAGCCACACTCAAGGGACCAAAGAGCTGCATGTTTGCCAACCATGGTCCTACCCTATATAATAAAAGGGTATAATATGCAAATTGACCAAACAGTGGAATGACTGGTTGCTATGAAGCGCACTGACCACCAGGGGGCAGACGCTCAACACAGGAGTTGCCCCTGGCTGGCAGGCTCGGATCACCAAATGGGGAATGGGGATCTGGGGGTGGGTGGTATCAGGGAAGATGGCCCTGATCACTCGGCCAGGCCTAGGGACCTTACCATGTATGAATTTTGTGCGTCGGGCCTCTCGTAAAATATAAGAACTTATTACCACTTACTGTGAGTGACACTTCAATTCCAAGGAGGAAAAAGGCAAGGGTTAGATATCTAAAACTGGAATGGGCCCAAGTACCCTCAAGAATGAGAAGAGCTTGTCAGCGTCAACAAATTGCCTTGAAAAGCAAAGAGTCCAAGGACTTGCAACCAAGTAATAGTTGGGGAAGTTGTTAAACCAAGATAATTATTATAAAGTTAATAATTAGAAAATTAACCTGCCAATAGCGTCTCTGCTCCTTAAAACCCACATCTCTTGTCAACAGGAAACAGCATGAAGAGGCCACAGAGAGATGCCACTTTCGTACACAAGTTTCAAGGGGCACCAGAGGCATGAAACATCACTGAAGAATTTTGCTCTGAAGACTATTACTAAACATGGACTTTCCAACCATACATTCACATGACCCAGAAAAAGAAGAAAAAAATGAACTTTGGAGTTGAAAAGAAAACACAATAATTAAAACATGAAAATAATTAATTTCAATGCCTCCAATGAATCAGCTAGGCCTTTCAATTTTGCTTCATCAGTGCCTCTCAAATCAATCTATTCCTATCCCTAATGTCACTAAACCAGTCCGGTTTACCAACTTCTCCTTGAAATTACTTCGAAAACCTCAACAAGGCCCGGCTGGCATGGCTCAGTGACTGAGTTTCAAACTATGAACCAGAAGGGCACGGTTCGATTCCCAGTCAGGACATATGTCCGAGTGAAGTCTGTAAGAATAAAGGTAGAAGGAACTGTACTTGGAGTATTATACTCTAGTCTAGGGGTGTCGAACTCAATCAGAGAAGGGGCCAAAATCTAAAATCCAGCCTAAATCGCGGGCCGAATGGTTTACTGAACAGTCATAAACTGTCATTGTGATGGAAACGCAGCGGAGTGCAGTGATGACAGCGCGGTGCGGGCCACATTGCAAGGCCTGTCGGGACGGATTTGGCCCGCGGGCCTTGTGTTTGACACATGTGCTCTAGTCGATCATGCTGACACCATCATACACGTATACTGGACTTGAACAATTTAGTAAATGGATGGTGAGTGGTGGGAGCTAGGTGTCTCTCTGTTGGAGTGGGACATTCCAGATAAGCAAAGGGAGGAAGCTAGAATGATCCAGGTGGTAATGAATTAGAGCTGGAGATAACAATATGAACTCATGTCACCTAAATATAAATACAGATGGTACATATAGAAATACTCACAGGTAAGTATGCACACATATATTTCCTTGCTCTGTCAGCAAGGAGGGCTTATAAGCAAGAACATACTGATAGCAACAACCACTCTTTACACCCACACTTGGCTTCTAATTCATTCTCCAATATAAGGAACCAGGGTTTCTTGAGATACGGTTATTTTAGGAATGAGGCAAGAAGTATAAAAGATGAGCCTGGAGCATTTTGTAGTACCAGAAAATAAGACCATGCCCAAAAAAACAAGAAAACCCCATGACGTGGGTATGTCAAAGTGACTCAGAAGCCAACTGAAAGAGCTCCAATGGCCACAGTTGGAACAATTTGGGCAACAAAATTTTTTAAAAAGCAGGATTAGATTATAATTCAAAGTATAAAATAAATATCCAGCAGTCCACACTGATATAGATAAATAATAGAATAAAAATGAATAGTCCGGCCAGCGTGGCTCAGTGATTGAGCATTGACCTATGTAAGAACCAGGAGGTCATGGTTCAATTTCTGGTCAGGTCACATGCCTGGGTTTTGGGCTCAACCCCTAGCGTGGGCCATGCAGGAGGCAGCCGATCAATGATTCTCTCATCATTGATGTTTCTCTCTCCCCCCTTCTCCCTTCCTCTCTGAAATCAATAAAAATAAATAAATAAATAAATAAATAAAGGAGAAAAGACACATCTTCTATGAAGAATTCCAAATAATTTAGGCAAATATTCTGCATTCAGGGAGGTGAAGCACAATTGCCCACTCCTTAAGTATGGGCTGCTCATGGTGACATCCTTCCAAAGAGGACAGTAGGGAAAGTGGGGGGAGGCCAACAACTGTGGAGAAGCCTAACCAACATGACCTCAGCCAGGAGATCAAGGTTCATATCAACAGTGACAAGTCATGTTGATAGCACACCCTTAATATGACTGATGAGAATGATATTTGCTCCCATTGTCTTCCTCCCCAAACCTATAATCCCAGTCTAATCATGAGAAAAATACCAGACAAATCCAAATTGAGGGTCATCTACAAACTACCTGACCAGCACTCCTCAAAACTGTCATGGTCACCAAAATCAAAAAGCCTGAGAAATAGCTGCAGCCTAGAGAAGCCGAAGGAGACATGAAGACTAGATATAATGTGGTAACCTAGGTGGGGCCCTAGAACAGAAAAAGGACATAATGTAAACACAAAGGAAATGTGAACAAAATACGAACTTCGGTTAATAACAATAATGTATCAATATTGGTTCATTATGAAAAATGTGTCATCACTAATATCAGATGGGGAAACTCGAGTGTGGGACATACATGGTTCTCTCTGTACTATCCTCACAATTTTTCTGAAAACCTAAAACGATACTAAAATAACATTAGTATTTTTTTTTTTTAAGGTAGACTGGGGACTGAACTCAAAACTCCTTGAAAGGCTTATCTAGTCTCTGCCTCACCTCCAGGCTCCTCTTAACCCTCCGCAGTGGGGCCTCATTACAGTAAGTCCTTATTCGTGTCATCAATAAGGTCTTTGAAAATGTGCCTTTAAGCAAAATGATATATAAGAAACCAATTTTATCCTCTGCTAATCAATCAAAGAGTTAAGTTCCTACAGCATATTTCTGGTCACAAAAATATCACCAACCCTCTAAATAAAGACCTGGCAGCTCAGGGCACAACGTGGGAACCCACCCTGGCCATTCCAGGGCCATTCGATGCCATCCCCGCACTCACTCAGACAGGGGCAATTTATTTATTTTTATTTTTTCCTCACCCAAGGATATTTTTCCATTGATTTTTAGGGAGAGTGGAAGAGAGAGGGAGACACAGAGAGAAATCTCGATGTGAGAGAAAACACATCGATTGGTTGCAACCTGTGCAAGCCCTGACCAGGGCCTGGGCTGGGAAGGAGCCCGCAATCAAACTACATGCCCCTCACCAGAATCAAACCTGGCCTCCATGCCTCTCAGCCCCACCTCTGTGCTAAATGGCAACTCGGCCTGATTCTGCCACGCTTCTATTTTGCTGTTCCTGGAGCATGTCAAGCTCATTCCCAGCTCAGGGACTTTGCTCTTGCTAATCCCTCTGCCTGGAATGCTTTTTCTCCGGAACCCCACGCTGCTTACTCTGTTTCATTCAGGCCCTTGTTCAGAAGCTCTCTTTGACACCCAATCTAAGCAGGCCCCACTCTCCACATCACTCTAGCCCCTTATTCCAGAGCTTTCCCGGTTCACAGTACCCTTACTGTCTCAGTAATTTTTTTCAAATCGCCTCCCGACCAAAAGAAATACCTAAGCCTTCTGTGTAAATAGTTAAGGACCAAATAAATTACTAAGTATTTAAGCCTTAATCACTTAGTAGCAATTTGAAAAAATAACACACATATTTAGAAAGATTAACGTTCCTGTTTCATTTTCAGTGGCCACAATTACTGACAAATGAGATGTGTGTACCTTTTGAGTTTTGCACAACTTCTCAAACGTTGGGACCAGACTGAACGCCACACACACAACATTCCACGTCTTTAACCACAGCAGCCACCAAAAAACCAGCTTCAAGAGATATGATGTCATCACTCTGGCCGGTATTGCCCGGTGGTTAGAGTGTCAGCCCGAGCACCAAATAGTCATGGGTTCAATTCTTGGTCAAAGGCATCTACCTGGGTTGCAAGTTCGATACCTGGCTTGGGGCGCATGCGGGACACAAGCAATCAATGTCACATCTATATTTCTCTCTTGCTCCCCACCCCTTCCCTGTCTCCCTTCCACTCTAAAAAAATCAATGGAAAAAATATCCTGGGGTGAGGATTAACAATCACCACCACCATATAAATATGTGGGATGCAGTAACATCTAAGGTTGAAATT